TTTGTTTTTCATAATTTTCATTTTGCAAATATACTGCATAGATTAAGACAATAGAATAAATTTACTATCATAACATGAAATCAATTAATAATAATATGAAATGTGTAAAAGGAAATATTTTAAATTAGATGATAATTAATATATCATATCTTTCTATTAATGCATAACTTGGGGACTGTATATCTATTGGTAATAGAAAATTAAAGAGTTAGAAAATGAAGAGTTAGCAAAACCTATCTAAATATCATATTTAGAGAATGTTTAGATTTGTTAATATAGGCTTTATTTGATTAGTGAGTTTGGGTACTATTTATTTTGGATTAGCAAAATGAACGAAGTTTAGTTTTCAATGTATTTTGAGTATCCTGGATATTTTAGAAATCTTCTACTTTCATCAAATTGCCAAAGCAATTATAATGTTCAATATAATTAATCGATTAATTCTACAATAATTTTTCAAAATACCCAATAATATATAATTTAATTTTAAGGTACAGATATATAAATTGAATAGATGGAGAACATAGTTATTGCAAAAACTCAAAACCAACTTACAGTTATTTACAATTAGGAGTACTAATAAGTAATTTAACTAAATACTTTGCACATAACTATTGATAATAATTATAATTTAATATATTGGCTTGATGAAATTACTAAAGAACTAATTTTTTATAAAATTTCATATCCGAAAAACATAATTTAACCGTCTAAACAGTATATTTTCTAATTTAATAGTGTTTAAGTTTAAAACCAGAAAAAAATTTGCTACAAACTTAAATACATAATAGAGCACCAATACAACAAAAACTAGACTTTAGATTTCAATTATTAATGTTAAAATGAATCCTCAACAGTCTACAGTAAAGAAGGTTTGCAATTACCTCATAAATATGAGATAAAACTTGATTAAAATTTAGAATTTAGACTTAACATTTTAGATCAATACTCCTTTTAATCCATTTGTCCAAAACACTATAATTTCAATCCTAATGATACTATTTTACTATATTTTGAAACGAACACTAACATATCTTTTTCAATGATTCAAACTAAAGATTACATCTATTTCCAAAATTGCCATAATTCAAATAAAAGCAGAGTTGATATCTAAAATTGTTAGGTATTTTATTTTTAAAGTTATATACTCCTACATAATCAAAAAAAATAAGAACTATAACTTTTTGGATTTCAGGATATATTAATTAGAAAATTTAGGATATAGATTCAAATCACTGATATTGTTTAATATTAATAAATCTTTTTAATATTTACCTCAGATAGTAAAGATCCTAAAATAATTGATTTATCAAAACGTTATCAAATTATATTGAACAAATAAACCAATAAAATCTTGAATGCATTACATTAAATTTATTTCTAAGACAAACAATAAAATTAGAATTTGACAACTAATCATTTTTTTATTAATTTTGAAAACTAAAAATTGTTTCAGTATAATCAATATTTGATAATTTTAATTCATAAAAATGTTCAAATGATTAGGTTAGAAAACATATAAATAATTTTCTTAAAGTAACTACTAAACTTATAGTATTATTTATTGGGAGTACATTTAATCAATAATTCAATAAATGATTATCATTTTGATAGTTAATAGGTATCTGTATTGTCTTCCTTTAAATTAGACCATTATGAATTGATTAAACCTTTAAAGTACTAGATCAATAAAAAATATTTGGCCTTGGCCAGTTTGAGTGAAAATAAAACTTATGTGTTAATATTTGAGATTAGAATAACAAAACCTCTTCTGTTGGTAAAAGTTATTCAAATAAGTAGAATCGAATTCTTTTTCTTAGGATATTAATTGTTCTATTATAATTTTGAAGATGAAATTAATATATATAATTTGCTATATTTTGAAGTTTAATTATAGGATTCCACTGAACATAATGAAATCGCTGTAAAAACTAACATAACTTTTTAAATTATATCAGAAATGAAGAGTGAACCTACAATTTATTTAGGATTCACATTAAAGTTTTACAATGAATGCTACCGATTATTTTAAAAAAGTAATCATTCTTCAATAAATTCTACATAAAACCATATAATACCTTCTAAATATTTTTATGGCTCTATAGACCTATTAAAAATAGAGGTCAGCAATGAAACTAATATTCTTGAGCCTTTAAGATTTATTGAGTGGATTGATATCAGTAGACTCCGATATGAAGGTAGAATCAAGAAAATTGATATTGGTCCCATTCTGTTTATTAACTAGAGCTTTAATGAAACTTATAGCATATATATAGTATTAGCTGATAATGACTTAGGTCAAACTTTTATAATTAATCCAACAGATTAATTATTTGTGAAGATATTACCAATTAATAACCAGTATATATTATTTTTTTTTGATTAAGTTAACTTCATATAGGGAGCCATGTATTTGATAGATGAAGATACATAAAATTTAATAAAAGAACCTATATAAGAGCTAAATATAACTTTGAATCAATCATATAGTCATTATCTTATTTTCAAAACTGGTGATCTAATTGTATTTAAATCTAAATCTCAATTATTACTCTATATGATCCTGAATTCTAGCATAAAGTTTATTGAGAATGATTTATATATTCTAGATATTCTTAAAGTATAAGGGAACAATCAATTTTATATATCTTTTTCATAATTAAGAGATAGACAAGCTTATTATTTCCATGTTCTCTCTATTAATTAATTCAATTTAGTTTCTATTGGTACTGCAATCCTATAACTGTAAACTATTTTTATTGAATTATAAGCCTACGTTCAAATTCTTTTATATGAACACATAGATGAAAAAAGTTAAATTAGTATATTAGACTGTGAAATTATTGATTAGGAATTTAGAATTTAGGTATTTCAGATATTTAATAAAATTTAAATAATAAGTCAAATTTGCATTAAGATTGAAAATTATTCAATTTCTTTTAAAGTACTCAATATACTTAGGCATGAATTGGGAGATAAAATGAAATTATAATTTTATAATAAAAATCACCTTATTCTACAATCACTCTCAAATTCATACTACTTTTATGATTTAAAAGAGCCTCTAAATTTTATTGATTATTTTGGAAGTATTATTTAGAATAATGATTTATATTATCCTTTTAATACTACTCATTTATATGTATTCTAAAGAAACACTAGTTAAATATATTTGGCAGAATTAGGTTACAAAATTGATACATAGAGTCATCTTTTTGAAAATTAAATATTTACTTTGGTTGCTGAGAATTAGTTATCTTAAGCTCGATGTAGGATAACCATTAATGAAAATAGTCATTAAGAAGAGGATAACAATTTTTTAATAAAATTGGTTATTGTATTAGTGCTTATTTTAATTTTTTATTTTCTTTTGAGAAGGATACAATTAAAGCGTAAATAGTTAAACAATTAAAGGCATCATCATCAAACTTTTGCAAAAATTTCAAACGTTGAAGAATGATTTATAAATTATAATTATATATATTAAATAAATACAAAATTTCTTATTAATCCGTAATGGGGTATAGTTTATTAATTTTGTTAATTCTTAAATTAAAATAAACTTACATTTTTTGTTTAATTTATTATTTAGTTCTACGGACAAGGTTTACAAAACAAATACTAGGGAATGTTTCATAGTGTATAAATAATCGTTGAGGTCATCATTAGTAAATTTTTCATACTTCCATTCAATGAAGTTTTCTAATTTGGCCAACCTATGCTTTGTTGGAGAGTTGGTTTTTTATAAAATAATTTATAGATGAAGCAAATAATAAAAAAATAAGAATTTAATTTATCAGTCAGATGATATCAGTATTGCCCATGAATGATCATTTCATTATGTATTTTCTAGCAAATCATCAAGTCTTTTTCCAATTATTACAATTAATCAAACCGAATAAACAAAATCAATTAATTTAAACTAAATTTCTGATCAATCGAATGAATGATTTTATCGCTCTTGTTCTGGAAGTGTTCCCTCCTGATCATCAACTATGGATGGATCTATAAATTAAGGATTAACAATTAGAAGAAGTTATTGCTCAAAATTAAAATTATTTCTCTGATCTACTAAGTAATTATACTCACTTATTTCTAGTGCTCTATATCCAAGAGATGGAAATTCGCTAACTCAAGGATAAAAAACTAGGATACAAAGGAAAATACACTACCTAATACAGTGAAGATTTCAGTGATAAAATAAATAAAGACAACACATCAATTAATCGATGGATTTATGATCGAATCAAATAATCAAACACATTTCTATAAAACATTAGTACTTACAATGTAAAAACTATAGAATTATATACAGCAACATTACATTCCAAAACGTTACGATAAGATTGGCAATTTCAAACCAGACCATAAACCTAACTTAAATGAAATATCTTGTCTCTCCTCTTATGCTGTCAATTATAGAGACTGGAAGAAATAATATCATGGTCTCATTGGTCCCATTAATTCCTCTAGCGAGAAGAAACTACCATTTGTAGCTGAAACCAATTACACTCGAAATTTCGTCACACAAAAATATGAAAAACAAGATCCTATCATCCCTAAATAATTGTACCATATATATCAATATCAATAGAGGTCCATTCCCAAATCAACCAAAAACTCTGATTCGAGATACTACACACAAATCTTAGTTATAGTCAAAGAAACAATCCCATTAAAAGCTTAAATGGGTCTTAAATTTTGATACAATATTAGCCAATTATGGTCTAATTATTAGGGTAGTCTTTTAGTTCTTATTAGATTTATTTAAGGTCCATTTGCATCTATTTTGAGGATTGCAAACTATTATTTCATTCACTTTATTGTTTAAAATAGTAAATAAATCGATTTTTTTTATCAAACTGCATTTAATTGTTATTCTTCTAATCTGATTAAGTTCAGCAAAAATTTGTTTTGCTTTTTCACTCTTTCTTTAAAGAATCAATTTTACAATTTTTTTCTCATATTTTACTTACTTCTTCTCCAAATACGCTCGAAATTTATTGTCCACTTAACAATTAATTATCATATGTAAGTTCCTTGATTTTCTGACTGAAGCTTCTCTATTCCTTATTCCTTAATCTATTCCCTTTTTGAGGAGATATTGTTCTCTCAACAACATCGATTGTATTTGATGAGTTAATCGGAGTTACACTCTTCATTATAAAAAATTAATATATTTTTTATATTAAGAAAGTTATAATGTTTAAACTGAAACCAACAAGAGAATTTATTATAACAATGTTATTTATTTAATTCAATATCTATTTACAACACTTGTTAAGAAAAAAAAGGGTGTCTTTATCAAAATGTATAATTTAAAAGTAAAAATTATCATATAAATTTATTTTGTTTTATTTTTTAATTATTTTTCGATTCTCTGTTCAACTTTCTCTAAACAATATGCATAATAAATAGTAGATATAAATTATGGTATGTCAATAATCAGAATGAAGAGGGGTTAGCAGGTTTAATAAATTATTATATTGCATTATTAAGAATTATATTTTTGATGTTCTTTACTCCATGTTAAAGGTGCTAAATATTTATTTCAGGAACTTTGATGAATTATGAGAAGTAAGGTTTCTAAAATTTATATATTAATTAGGAGGGTTTTTCAATGGATTTAATCTCTTTAACTTCAGACATTCCTGCCTTAAAAAAACTAAATGAAGGTCTTTTCAATGAAGTTTATTTTTCATTAAATTAGACAAAAAGAAAAATAGAAAAGTAAGATGTTGGATTATAAAACATTTTTTTCAAAAGACCCCATTAAGAATCCATTCATTTATAATTAATTTAAAAATAACACTAATAAAATTGAATTAAAAAAAAATATTTGTATTATAGATTTGACACTTTAAATAAATATTTAAATTATAATACAATTATTGGATTTCAATAAGTATTATTAGTGATTAGCAGCTTATAGTAGTTGTAGTTATCAACATCTTAATATTCTAACAAGTATTTTTTGATAGTTAAATCTTTAATAAGTAATTAAAATTAAGCAACCATTAAATAAGTATCAATTTAGCTCTAATAAAAATCATTCACTATGAGATTACTTACAAAGCAAGAGGAGTGAAGCCGTTTATTCAAAAAAAAAATGTTAGGGAATCAGAAAAGCATTGTTTTCTTTAATATATAAGATTCATTGCAAAAAATTAAAAGAAGTGAGGGAGTAAAAAAATTACATTTATTTTATATATATATATATAAAGAAAGTCTTCATTAGAGATAAGGATTGAATTAAAATCCATAAATATATAAAGAGAACATAATAATTCTTAAAGTTTAGAAATAATAAATAGAAATCAATTAAAAGCTCAATATAATAATCTATAATAATAGTAATTATTACGATTATATATGAATATATATGAATATATATCAAACATTTAATTAAATTCTCTATCTTAGATTAAAAAAAACTGATAATTGGTGTCTTAATATTGATTAAGTAACAAGGATACAACAGATTCTGTCCACATCAATTTATTAAGATCAGATGATGATATATTAATTATTAGAATATTTATTTTGTACTAACTTCTAGAATTTATGATGTCTTATAAATTTTGTACAAATTTACCTTAATTTATGAGCTAACGAATAAATGATGACCATAGTTTGAATAAGTTAAATATTCAAATAGTTTTCCATGCACAAGCAATTCTAATTCTCAAATTTTAAGGATATTAAGCAACTGTTCTAAAATAGGAGGATAAATGAACTATTAAATACTGTATTCAAACTAATAAATTATGATCGAGAAAATAATTTAAATAATTATAATCTGAAAACTCAAGACTAAACAACACTATTAGTTTATTCGGATTTAAATAGATAAGGAAAGTTTGAATTTTAAAATCATATTAATAAATAAGAAATGATTGTTGCTTTTTATTTTGTATCGATTATCATGAAAGTCTTTGGATGGAGAGAGTATTATCGGGAGTACTTTAATATTTATGGATATTAAACATCTGAAAAATGCCCAGATTTGCATATACAAAAGATTGGTCTGCATCCACACTAATGCGTCTGTAATTTAAAGGGAGTAATTTTAGCTTATGCTTTGATTTGTAAGGATGTGACAGACGTTATTATAAAAACGGAATTGAATGGAACTCAACATTTATGCCATCCCAAATTCCAACCATGGGGAGCTGGGACTACAACAAGGGATAATACCACACTTCATTGTGGGTTTGCTGATGGTGATTAGTTAGTGATGGAAATGCTATCAGATGGAAATTATAAATATTATTGCAAATGTATGTATGAGGTAATAGTTTAGAATTGACGGATGAAAAAAGTAAACGATGCTTGATTACTGCCCTTCAATATGGCATTTATAGTTGCCAATTTTGCAAGCCTCCTTACTATGGACTTGAGTGTAAAAAAGTTATTTGGAGTTTTGATTAACGGTTTTCAAATCCACCCCGATGTATAAATCATTTTTATTTAAGAATGCTTAGGAAATTGTTTGGAATGCGATGACACTACAATGACAAGTTGTAGTAAATGTATTCCTGGAAGAGATAACCAAAATCCTAGCGATAAAACGTGCTCAATAGGTATATCATAGTTTAGACTTTATAGATTGTATAGGATTTACAAGTTGCTCTATAGTTTCTAATACATATGTGTATAGTAATGTTTGCATGCCTGGAACTGTGCTTAGATAGGACCGTTGTGCTTGTACATTTTCAATAATAGTTTATAGCATGTCCAGATGGTTGTTTAACTTGTACTTAGGATACAATGTACATGATGAAGAGAACTTGTGATGTCTGTGATTCTAATTATTTAAGATAATTATATAGTAGCAATGAACCTAATATGTACTTTTGCTATCGAATAAATAATTGTGATAGCACAAGATAATAATTGATTAGTTAAACAACATTACCTACTGGAGAATATGTTTATAATATACGATGTTTATTATGCGATCCAGGATATATTTATGTTGTTTCTACTGGATAATGCCAACGTAAAATTTATTGAAAATAATTCTTTAGCAAGCTATAGTGTGAAATAAGGTTGTTTCTTTTTGGATAACTAAGGAATTAACTGCGTAGCGTGTTATCCATGGTATAGTTTACAATAGGATGGCACATGCAAGCAAATGGCCTGCAATTAAGACTGCTTTACATGTTTAGATACAAATCCAGATTTTTGTAACACTTGTGATGGTTATAATAATAAAATACCTGATATAAATGGTATTTGCTAATGTAAGCCAAATTATGGTCTTAAAATTGATGAATGTGTAATGTGTTCTGAGGGTTATTGTTAAGAATGCGAAGTAGGAAATTTTTTTTCATGTACCTCATGTGCACCTGAAACAAATAGAATATTAGTTGATGAAAAATGCATTTGCAAACCTGGTTCATGTGAACCTGCAGATGGAAGTTTGACATGTATTGGTAAACATACTGAATAATAATTAAGTTTGCGATTAGTCATGTGTTATCTGTTCTGGTCCAACAATTAATGATTGTACTTTATGCCCAGATGAAATTACTTCAAATAGAATTCAGGTTGGTAATTCATGCCCTTGTAAATAGAGGACCTACATCGAATCTAAATCAAAGATGCTAAATGCGGAAGTATTTGTAGTTATATATTAAGAATGCCATCCAAGATGCAAATAATGTTTCTAAGCAGCTGACGAAACCTCAAATTAATATTGTCTAACTTGCATACCTGGATAATACAGAGTACTTTCAGAGAATCTGAATTGTGATTGCAAAGAAAACTATAGTGATTTTGATGGCACTTCAGACATTTGTTTAAGTATTTTTTAATTTATATTTAGTTTGTGATTATACTTGTGGAGTATGTAATGATTTCGGTCCCACACATTGTACCTCATGTTTAGAAAGCTCACATAGATATTTAACAGCATTAGGAGAATGTTTATGTAAAACATCATACTTTGATGATCAAAAATTCAATATAGAGTGTTAATGTAATAAGAAATATTAATCCTAGAATGTCATTATTCATGTTTAAGATGTGCCAATAGCATTGAAGACAATGCATGTTTAGAATGTCCTCCTACTAGAAAGCCTAGTGATCCATTAGCCACTTAGTTTTAATGTATTTGTGAATCTTCAAACTTCTTTGACGATGGATTATTACCAACCTGTCTATAATGTGATACCTCTTGTCTAACCTGTTATGGTCCTCTTTCATCTAACTGTCTAACTTGTGACCCAACTTATAGAGAATTTGATTTATCATCTTGTCTATGTCCCCCAGGATATTTTGATGTTGGATAATTGGAATGTGCTAGTAATTCTATATTAAATATTATCAGAATGTCACTATTCTTGTTATTAATGCTTTGATAATACAGCTGAAGGTTGTATAAATTGTTCAATTGATTTTCATCTTAGAGTGTTAAAAGGAAATACTTGTAAATGTATTGATGGATATTATGATGAACCAGGAACATCTAAATGCAAAAGTAATTACTAAAATTATTTTTATAATAGAATGCTCATATAAATGTGAAACCTGTGAAGAGTAAGCTGAAAAATGTTTGAGTTGTCCTTTAAATTCATTACGTACTTTTGATTCCACTACAGGTTGTCTTTGTCCAGGAGAGTATTACGATTAACAAAATGTCGTAACTTGTTAAAGTAAAATAAAAATAAATTAGAGAATGTCATTTCAAATGCAAAAATTGTAGTGCCTAAACTGAAAGCTCATGCCTCTCATGCGATCCATTGTCATATAGAGAAATTAAACTTTAATAATGTAAATGCTAACCACATTATTTTGAAATGGAAGTTTAGGAATGTGCAAGTAATTATTATGCTCAATTATAGTTTGTAGTGCTCTTTGTTATGAATGCGTTGATAGACTTGATAATTGTACTTCATGCTATGATGATAGATATCTAATTGGAAATAAATGTTAATGTGCTTCTAAGTTTTAAGGGGCTTCGATAAGTACATTTGAATTTAATGGTATGGTTAAAATGCTAAAGTAAATCTTCATATAATTGTAAGAGTGCCATTATTCTTGTGCAACATGTGGAGGAAAAGAAGAAATAGATTGCATTTCTTGTATTGACACTGATAATAGGTATTAAGTAGGCAATACTTGTGTTTGCAAAGAAGGATATTATGATGCAGGATTGCCTGTCTGTTAAAGTATTTATCATTTGTTTATCAATAGAATGCAGTTACAAATGTAAAGGATGCTCAAAATAGTCTGAATATTGTACTTCTTGTTAAGATAACAGTTTAAGATAGTTAGTTTCAGATTTCAAAACATGCAAATGCAATTAAAGATATTATGATGATGGTTAAAGTGAAGTTTGTTAATGTATGTATTTTCAATATGATTAATTAGAATGCCATTACTCATGCCTTCGATGTAATGACATCGACACAAAATGTGAATTATGCTCATTTGAATCAAATAGAATTTACAATGATTAACTATTTTCTTGTGATTGTGATGTAGGTTATTATAATACTGGAGTTGAAATCTGTTAAAAATGTCACTATTCCTGTTTAAATTGTAATTCTGGAGATTCATCATCATGTATTTAATGTGTTGATTCTAACATTTCAAATAGAGTATTTTATAATAACACTTGTAAATGTTTATTTGGATATTTTGATGATGGCTAATCAATTAAATGTTAAAAATGTGATGTTTAATGTTTAAGTTGTATTAATTAATCTTATTAATGTTTATCATGTCCACAAACAAGGAAATTAGAAACTAATTGTAAATGTTAACAAGGATATTATGATATTGGATTACAACTATGTTAAAAATGTAACTCAATTTGTTCTGCATGTGAATTTACATCTAATAATTGCACATAATGTGATTCTGATTAATTTAGACAACTAAATGAAATTACTTAAAACTTGTGATTGTTAAATTGGTTATCTTGAACTTAATGGAATTTGTTTATAATGTGATCAAAGTTGTAAAATTTGTTAGTAATAATTGAATCATTGTACATCTTGTGTTTAATTTAGAAAATAAAATAATAATAATGGCATTTGTATTGATGGTATGTTTGAATCAATTTAAGATAAATAATGTAAATTATGTCATAAAACATGTTTAACATGTGCTTATTCAGATTAATATTGTTTAACTTGTTCAGTTGATAATTTTAGAATATTTAAATCTGGAAATACTTGTGAATGTATATAAGGATACTATGAAAATTAAATAACTTATGCATGTGAATAATGTTCAAAATCTTGTTTAACTTGTTCATAATAATAGAATAATTGTTTAACATGTGATACAACTCTTAATTTATCTTTAATCAAATAATCAATGTTTATGTTCATAATCCTATTATTTTAATTCTTTAACTAATTCATGTTAATGTAATACTATTATATTTATATAGAATGTAATATCACTTGTTTAGATTGTTAAATTCAGAATGAATGTACATCATGTAAATTAACAACCAGACATTTAGATTAAGATTAAAAGAAATGCATATGTAATGATGGTTATTATGAAACAAACTAAGCAAATTGTTAATGTATTATAAATTATCTACTTTTAGAATGTCATTTATCATGTGAGACTTGTATTAATATCGATACTAATTGCTTAAGTTGTATAAGTATATCGAATAGAATATTAACTAATAATTAATGTTTGTGTATATAAGGATATTATGATGCAGGAATTGAAATATGTTAAAAATGTAATGGTAAATGTAAAACGTGTTAATCCTCTGCTTCAACTTGTTTATCTTGTTATCAAGTTGAACAAAATAGATACTAATCAATAGATAAATGTTTATGTAAATCTGGATATTTTGAATCAAATACTGATATCTGTTAAAGTAATCTTAATTAATTAATAATTTAGAATGCTCAAACGAATGTCTAACATGTTAAGGTTCGCCTGATTATTGTACAAGTTGTGATACCAATTCAAAAAGAATAGATTAATCATTTATTCACAAATGTCCATGTATAATTGGATTTTATCAAGATCAAAATTATATTTGTTAAAGTAAATATCCATATATTATTTAAAGAATGCCATTATAAATGTTAAACTTGTATAAATATAAGTGATTAATGTTTAAGTTGTAAATTTGAATTAAATTCAAACAGAAAGTCTTTGTCTGATTAATGTAATTGTAAAGAAGGTTATTATGATGATGGAACTTAATTATAATGCTAAAAATGCAATTTTAAATGTAAAAGTTGTATAAATGATTCAAATAACTGCTAAATTTGTTCAAATTCAATACGAAGTAATCCTCCAATGTGTAATTGTATTGATGGATATTATGAAGATTTATAATTGACATGTTAAAGTATTTATTATCTTAAAATAAGTGTGTGCATATTAATGTAATACATGTGCTACTTAACCATAAAATTGTTTGACTTGTAAACCAGGAAGATCTGGAAATGATTGTAAATGTAGTGATGGATATTTTGAAAATGGATCCATATTATGCGATTGTATTAATTATTAACAATCTTATATAGAATGTGCATTTCAATGTGTTACTTGTAGTAATTCATCATCGAATTGCAACAAATGTAAAGGTAATAGAATTTAAGAACCTTAATGCATATGTCAACCAGGCTATTTTGATGATCAATTAAATGAAGATTGTTAATTATGTGATAGTTCCTGTTTGGAATGTAATAAAATTGGATGTCTATCCTGTAATGCCAATAGAATAATAAATGATGATATGGATTGCATGCCTCCACCAAATTCAATTTGGTATGATAATACTCCTTGGTGTTCAAGTAAGTGAATTTAAATATTTTTAGCTTGTTAGGTTGCAGTTATTAAAGTATATTTATCAGATGATCTCAGTAAAATAATTATTCATTTTGATTTCCTTTTAAATTCAAAATAATTTAATTCATAATTTGAATTAAATAAATGTTTGTAATTATTTGAATTAGAATCTGTCTAAAGTTTTGGGTTAAATTGTTAATGCTTTCTTGATCCAGATGATAATCATCAATTATTAATATCTTTAGGAGAAAACTCAAAAATAAATGTAGGTGATGAATTACTATTTCTAAGTAATTCTTTATCTCATGTTAATTGTGAAACTACTTTAAATAAGTTTATTTTTCCAAAATTATAATTGCCATTAAACCCATTGGCTCCATAAATTGAGTATAATGTACCTTTATATAAATTGAATCCTTATACAGAAAACTCAGTTTATTTGAAATCAATAAAAAACTATGGATTTAGAAAATTAACTAATATCAACTGGACTGTTTAAGCAGAAACAAGCCAAATTACAGTATCCTTGAGCGATTTCATTACATAAATCAATTTACTTTAGGAATAAAATTTACTTATACCCAAACTTACATTACCTGGTGATGAAATTCTCAAATTTAAGATCTAATATGAAAATTTCATTAATATTCATTCATAATCAGAATTTACAATATAAACTCATTCAGGAAGCCTTCCATATATTGAAATAACTGCAAAACCTTAATATTTCGTATATGAGACGATTACTATAAGTTTATCTGCTAACACTTTATATTAATCAAATTAAAGTGATAGTTCTAAATATTTAATTGAAATTAGTGAAATTGATAGATATCCTAAAAAGTCATCGTCTTCACAATTAAATAAATCCATGTAATCTAATCCTTTTGAAAAAATTTAAGCTAGCATTCTAAAATATACATTAAGTCCTAATACAACTTATACGTTCTAAGTTAATGCAACAAATTTAAATACAAATAAGGCTCAATAATAAAATTTGAGTATCTAAATCCCATATGCTGGATTAATATGCAAATTTAATAACAAAGAAATCTAGAGTATTAGAAAGGATCTCAATTTATAGATATAATGCAGAGATTTAGACACAATATATGATTGGAATACTGATCCAGATTTGTATGTCCAAGTAGCCTGTAAGGATTTAACTTTAAATAGCACTTGCATAAATTAATTAAAATAATTAATTAATGTCAATGTTACAGATACATTTTAATTTATTAAGAAGAATTCAATTTCTTCCTTAACTGTGTAGGAATGGTCAGTCATAGTAACCAAATTTGACTAAATTTACAAATTTACATAAATTATCGTTTTTCTTGAGGATGATTTCCCTGTTTTAGATTTAGATTTCAATTAGGGTTATTTAATGAGACAAGTTAATAATTATGAATAGCTGAATTTTACATTTCTAATCCCATTCAATTAAAAATCTTAGTTATTAGATCTATCAATTGCACTTATATATAACTATCAGATAATAGCAATACTGTAACCTAAATATCTTTCTCATTAATTTAAGTTATTTAATAGTCTAGAAGAGTTAAAATTGGGGAATAACATTAATCTTAAATTTACAGCATAATATACAAACAATATCATGCCTAGTCTAAATACCATAAAACTGACTATTAATTAACCTCCTATCTGTTCAAAATTAACTATTACTCGTTCTAATGATTAAGCACTTTCAAATATGATGGTTACTACTTCTTGTTAATACTCAGATGATTCTCCTTATAAAGTACGAACTTAGAGTATTTTTGAGAGAATAAGATTTAACAGATTTTTTGAAAGGTTCATCTGATAATTCCTTAATTCTTTATCCTTATTAGTCATAAACTCAATTTTAGATTTAAATTTCTTCTTCAGTGGATTCTTCAAAAATTGGACTTTTATTATAAGTGCTTGATTAAGGAGGATCAATAACTCCTATTTATGAGTTAATTACTTCAACCCCTGCAAAAATTAATTGTTCCTAAATATAATTTACAAATTTGAAATTGCAAAACAAGATTTCTTTGTTATTTGAAGCAATGAATTAAAAATGTAATGAGTTACATAATTAAATTTATCTTGATTTGCTTTACTAATAAATTTTGCCAGATTAAAACGATAACATCCTAAAATTTTAAGCTATAAAATTATATAGGTAGTTTTTAATATAGTTTGGATAGACCAAACCTAAGAATCGATTATTATTTGAATCAAATTAAAAAGGATGTTATGATAAAAATTCAAGTCGTTTCTTTATTACATAAAATCAGGATGATCCTAATTCTAATTCAACAACGAAGATAGAAGAGTTACAAGATAATGTTAAGAAATTAGATTCATCATTTAAATATTTTAGTGGAATGAAAAAGTAAAGTGAAGAGGGGCTCAATCAAAATAATTATGTTTGGAATCAAGAACTTTTCTAATAACTATAAAACTTTTAAGGAGGTTTAACCAATCTATTATACTTTGTTGATGAATTGTATTCTAACTTTTTATCAGCCAATACAACAAATACAACAATTTACTCAAGCATTGTTGAATTGTTAAAGTATAAAAGTTCTATTACAGATGAAATATAGAATAATATTGTTGTTAATGACTAACCATTATATATTGAGGGTAAAGATATGATTTCTTAATTAAAAAAAAGAACAAAAAAGATGTTCAATTAATAATTTAATATTGAACCAGCAATTGAAGACTACATAATAGATCTTATTCAATATGAATCTACAAATCTTTCAATAAATCCATTAATATTCAGTCCAGACTAAGATAAAATGCTTTAATAACATTTTAACGACAAAACTATGCAAATATTGTCAGATAATTATTACTTAATAAAATTATTCAATGTTATTAAAAACAGATATATAACTTATGAAAATATTTCATCTTACTTTGGCACTAAATTTGGAACATATGAGATCTGTTCTAATTAATCATAAAAAATTAAAGAATATGAGATATTGTGTATTTCAAGAACAGTCTCTGGAGGATTCCATAAATGTAATTTAAATAAAGTAGAAAACAATGAAACTATTGAATTAACTTGTGAATGCAAGAGTTTGGGGGAAATATTTTTAATTTCTTCTACAAATTTTAGTTTTGTAGATGTATTTAATAATAGCACAGAAGAAGCTGGTTTTGATATCACTTCATTCTAAGATGATTTCTTTATTTTAATTATTTGTACAAGCTCCTTGACTATGATACTATTCGGAATTTATATTTTTTAATTAATCAGGGACTTGAGAGATAATTCAGATGATGAAATATTATAAGAAGTTTGTAGTGTGTAGGTAGATATAAATAAAATGATGTACAAAGGAAGTTCTACACTTTTCAAATAAAAATTCAAAGTATATTTTAAATTTAATTATTAGGATATTCATCAAGTCATCTCACTTGCTAATTATAAAGATTAATAAATTAAATTCAGTTATAGAATTTTGGAAGTCATATCCTAAATTAATTTATTGTTAACTTTTAATATTGTAGAGTTTTACTTCTAAAGTCTTAACATACCCCTGATATTTGCTTTTATGATCGTTAACCCTATTATTGTTTTTATTCTGAGAATAATCTATAAAATTATTGAAACAATATACAGATTCAGAAATATTCCTGCAATTATTAGTTCGTTCATTCTAATCATATTATTGATATTGCCGAATATTGTCCTCTTTATTATTCACAAAACCAGGTAATTATCCATTATATTTTAGATTGGAGGCTTAATCAGAAATATATATAATGGTTATTATCTTCTTAGTGAATATTGTAATTTAATAAACTGTGATTGAAGCGATTTCAATATTCGGAAGAATTTCAATTTATAGATTAATAGCCTCGAGCCTCAAATAAATGGAACTTAACCCATTATTTCATTTGATGCATTTTTTTGTTATGCACAGCAGTCTAGAAGATATTTTCGACGAGTTCCTAAAAATTTGAAATGATATTTTGAATTAAATAAAGATTAAAATTTTATAATTATTTTTAAAATTTCATAATGTATTCTAAATAAATAGTATTAAATTATCTAATTTATAAAATTCAATAATTGTTTACATAAGACATAAATATATGTCTAGAGTTAAAACCTATTTAATTAAGTTTCATTGTAACTCTGATTTATTATATTATTTATTCTCAATTGCATTCAAATTTTAACTCTATAATCCAAGATTTTAGTCATTTTGATAAAAGTCATCACAAGAACAATATAATTGATAGAAACGATAGTAAATTTATAATAATTACAAAGAATTAAAGAATCACTTAGTATTGAAAGCAAAATTATTATTAACTAAACAAAGAGAATTTGAAATATATTCATCCTTTCAGTAAATGGAAGGATTAAGATAATTGAATAGTATATATATGTTAAATGAAGTTGCTGGTTTTACATATCTAGTTGAAATAAATAATTGATAATGTATTTGATATATCAGGTTTTTCCGAAAATAATCATTAAAATTTCGAGTATTCTCAAAAACAAGATAACAATATCAACGTATAATAACATGGCTGCAATAATATAATCATCAATTGTTAAATAATTAGACTAAGTTTGAATTATAATATTACATGATTGCCAATAATAAGTTAAGTATCAAAGATGATATAGCCTCCATATATGATGATGCATAGGGTACATATGAATAAATGGAACCAAATATTGCGAACGAATAAGCCAATAATGCACATAATCAAAACACTCATACTTAAAACAAAGCAGAAATGTCCTTGAATAATAAATGAAGTAATCAACCTGCAGCTGAATAATCTGTTTTTGTACGCCATGCATATATTGTGAGCATAATAGTAATTGCCACTGTGATTGATGCAGCAATAATGACTAATTGAACTATATAATATTTGAATTCAGAATTTACCTCCATTTGATAATAATTCAAAGCAAATGATGCAAGGTGCAGCCACAACAGTACTAAAGCATAGAGTAAAAATAGTAAGTAATATGTAATTGAGAGGCACCTATAAGATATTATATATTTCATACTTTTCTCGCCACTTTTCTGCAACAAAAGATAGCAACTTCAATGACTAAGGCAATTACAAAGCAAAATATAGTTAATGGTGTGTATTGAATTGTTGATGTATTGATGATGGCATTTCTCACATTTTGGAAATAATAAGATGCCAAAATTAACAGAAACGTGATTGAAAGTTAAAAACTCATAATGGCATAAACTTTCACAATGAATCCAGCTCTAATATCGGAATCTGCAGAGCTTACTAAACCTGAACATTCAGAATCATTTACTGCCATAGGATTATTAAATGCAGCATGATTAACATTTCCAATTTGATAGGCAAGTTGTTATGGCTATTTACTATTTTAATTAAAAGGATCTTATTAATTAGGAGTTTATTAATTGTATTGAAGTTATTGATTTGGATCATCAGAGTAATACCTATTATTGTTGTTATTCATGTAATTTATTAATATAATAATGATATAAATAACATAACATACGAATTCAATTGATTTATTTCTATTGTAAATGATGAATTGCATCATTGATCATATTACTCATTTTTCTATTCTAAAGTGTTACTTTACCTAATTATCCAAGTTGTCTTTCCATTTTATCAACATTCTTATCCTTATCTTCATTACTCATAGAATAATATTTAATTCATAATCTCATTTAATACTTAATATCCTCATGAATTCCAGCATAAAGTTTAAGGGAATACTCAATTTACATATCCTTTTCAAAATTAAGAGATAGACAAGATTATTAATTCTATTTTCTTTCTATTAATTAATTTAATTTAGTTTATATCGGAGCAGCAATCCTGTAACTGTAAACTATTTTTATTGAATTGTAAGCCTGCATTCAAATTCTTTTTATTAATGATTCTATAAATGAAAATTTAAATTAGTTTAATAGACTGTGAAAATATTTATTAGGATTTTAGAATTCATACATTTCAAATATTTAACAAATTAAAATTATTCATTGACTTTTAAAGTACACCAAATATTTAAGCATGGATTGAGAAATCATATGAAATTATAAATTTATAATAAAATATCCCTTGTTCTAAAATTACACTAAATTCATTCTAATTAATTATAACAATTATTGACATTAGCTTTCAATAAGAGGATAAAAAAACTTTAATTAAGTTGTTTATTTTCTTATGAAAAGTGAGTAAATAGTAAATCAAATTTTGATGTCATTAAAATTTTTGCTAACATTTCAAAAATTTATGGATGAGTTATAAATATATAAGTGTATTATAAGATATTAAAAAAATAAATACAGATATTTATTATAAAAACTAATCCTATGGGAATGGATGCTATATAAATAATGAAGAATTCATCATTAGTAAGTTCCAACAAAGTTTCTATTTGGCCAACATTCATTAATAGTTTTTTGCAACCAAATGCTACAATTATTATACTGATATTTGTTGCTTTAATTCAAGAGTTTGAATAAATCTAGGTCAGATTTGGCTACTATAATAGTTTAATTCCGTAATAGGGCTTTGTGTTTTTTTTTAAATATTTTCTTGTTGAAGCAAAAAATAAAAAATGAAAATTTAAATTGTTAGCCAGATTATATCAGTATTACCGATGTATAATCAATTTGACTTTGCGTTTTCTAGTAAATCAACAAGTCTTTTTCGAATTAGTATATAAAATGTAAAACTTACAAACTAAATACAGCAAAATTACATTCCAAAGCTTTGCGATAAGATTGGCAATTTTAAACCAGACCATAAACCTATCTTAAATCAAATATCTTGTCTTTACTCTAATGCTGTCAATTATAGAGACTGCAAGAAATAATATCACGGTCTCATTGGTCCCATTAATGTTTATATCGACAAGAAATTGCCACCTGTAGCTAAAACTAGTTACACTCAAAATTTTATCACAAAAAAATATGAAAAACAAGATCCTATCATCCAAAAATAATTGTACTCCATATCTCACTATCTCTAGAGATCCATTCCAGAATCCTCAAAAACCTTGATTCGAGATACTACACAAAATTCTATTTTGGTTACCCGAAAAGATAATACATCCACTAAACATTTAGTTTATAGAAAAAGAAACAATCCCATCAACGCTTTAAATGGGTCTTAAATTCTTATTCAAAATTAGTAATTTTTAGTCTATCTTATAAGTGTAGTATTCTAAATTTATTGAATTGTTAAATAAATCATCTATATAAGGCAACTCTTTCCCAAACTTCATCCTCAAGAGCACAATTTGATTAATTAAATTTAAATGTGGAGATATTCATTAGTATTTTATGTTCTATTTCAGAATTAATCTTATTAGTTCTTATCAGATTTATTTAAGGTCCATTTGCATCTATTTTGAGGATGGCAAACTATTGTTTTCACTTTTTTGTTTAAAATGTTACATGCATCAATTTTGTTTATTGCACTGCATTAATTGTTATTTTCTTCTTGTCGAAATAAGTTCTCCCAATATTCGTTTCGCTTTTTCACTCTTCAAAGAATCCAATTATACAATTTACAAGTGTTTTCTCATAGTTTACTAAATTTAACTCCAAATAAACTCGAATTTTATTGTCCATTTTATCGATTCTCTATTCAACTTAATCGAAACAATATGTATAATAAATTATATATATTAAATTATGGTAAGTCAATAATCAGAATGATGAGGAGTTAGTCGGATTAATAAATTAATAATAATTTTTTAAGTCATAAAAATTATATCTGATGCCCTTTGCTTAGAGGTGGGGTCCTTAGTATTGATTTCAGGAATTTAAATGAAGTATGAGAAGTAAGGTTTTTAAATTTTATACATTAATTAGAAGGATGTTTCATTGGATTTAATAAGTTTAACTTTAACTTTAGACATTCCTACCTTAAAAAAACTAATTGTAGGTCTGTCTTATGAAGTTTATTTTTGATTAAATTAGAAAAAAAAGTATTAAATGAAGGTGGATTCTCAATCATTTTTCGAAACCCAAATTAAGAAATATTTTGGTTTATAATTAATTTTAAAATAGCACTAATAAAATTAAATTTTAAAAAAATATTTGAATAAATTTGGCACTTTAAATAATTATTAAAATATAACACAATTATTGTATTGGAATTAGTATTTTTAATAATTAGCTGCCTATAGTAGTTGTTGTTATCAACATCCTAATAAACCCACAAGTAAAATTGTTAATTAAATTTTTAGCAGATAATTTAATTTGAACAGTCATATATTATGTATCAATTTAGCTCTAATGAAGATCATTCACTTTGAGATAATAGATGAAGCAATAAAATGTAATCTTTATTTTCAAAAATAAAATTATAGCAAATCAGAGAAAGCACCTGTTTTATTAATATATAAGATTAAATGCAATAAACTAATGAGGTTTTTGAAGTAAAGAACATACAGGTATTTTTCTCAATATGATGAAATGGCTCATAAAAAATTATTTTATATATCAACTCAAATATATAAAGAATTTCTAATTATAGATAGAGAAATTAACAATTCTTAAAGTTAGAAATAATAAGCAGAAATCAATTAAAAGTTCAATTATAAAATAGCCCATAATAATAATTATTATAATATATATAAATAATTAATAATAAATTGAATAGTCCATCCTCGATTTAGGCAATCTGATACTTTGTGACTTAATTTAGATAAAGTAATAAGGATACACTAATTGCAGACATCAGCAGTTTATTAAAGATCAAATGATGATATATTAATTTTAGAATATATATTTAATACTACCTTTTAGTACTTCTGATTTTTTATATACTGTTGTAGATTTATCTTAATTTATACATCTCTAGTGAATAAATGATAATCATTGTTTGAATTAGTTAATATGTTATCTAGTTTCCATTCACAAGCATCTCCTCCTTGAATTTCAAGGATATTAAGCGACTACTTTAAAATAGTGGATTAACGAACTACGAAATGCTTATTCAAACTAATAAACTAAGATCAAGTAAATAATTTAAATAATTATAATCTTAAACTCAAGACTAAACACCGCTTTTAGTTTAATATTAAGATTTAATAGATAAGGAAAGTTTGTTGAATTTTTAAATCATATTAATAAAAAAGAAATGATTGTTGGTTTGTATTTTGTATCGATCATCGTGGGAGTCTTTGGGTGGAGAGAGTACTATCGGGAGTACCCTAATATTTATGGTTATTATACTTAAAAATGCCCAGAATTGCATGCATAAAAGGTTGGTATGCATCCACACTAATGCGTCTGTAATTTAAAGGGAGTAATTTTAGCTTATGCTTTGATTTGTAAGGGTGTGACAGAGATAATTATAAAAACGGAATTGAATGGGACTCAACATTTATGCCATCCCAAATTCCAACCATGGGGAGCTGGAACTCCAACAAGGGACAATACCACACTTCATTGTGGGTTCGATGGAGGTGATCAGTTAGTGATGGAAATGCTAGCAGATGGAAATTATCAATATTATTGCAAATGTAAATATCGGTTAGTATTAGATTAGCATTGACAGATGATAAAAATATACGATGCTTGATAACTGCTTCCCAATATGGCATTTATAGTTGCCAATTTTGCAAGCCTCCTTACTATGGACTAGATTGTAAAAAAGTTCTCTGGTATTTTGATTACCGTTTTACAAATCCACCCCGATGTATAAATCAAATTTATTTAAGAATGCTTAGGAAATTGTTAGGAGTGTGAAGATAGTGTAAGTTGTTACAAATGTCTTCCTGGCAAAGCTAACGCAAATAACGATAAAATGTGCTCATTAGGTAGATCATAGTTTAAACTATTATTATAGATTGTGCAGGATTTACAAATTGCTTTATAGCTTCTAATACATATTAATTTAGTAATGTTTGCACTCCGGGAACTGTACTTAGATAGGACCGTTGCGTTTGTATATTTTAAATAATAGTTTATAGAATGTCCTGATGGTTGTTTAACTTGTACTTAAGATTAATAGAACATGAATAAAAGGTCTTGTGATGTCTGTGACTCTAATTATTTTAGATTATTATATAGTAGAAATGAACCTGACATGTACTATTGCTATCGAGCAAATAATTGTGATACTTCAAGATAATCATTGATTAGTCAAACAGTATTAAATACTGGAGAATATGTTTATAATATACGATGTTATTTATGCGATCCAGGACTTATTTATGTTGTTTCTAGTGAATAATGCCAAGGTAGAATTAATGAATATATTTCTTTAGCAATCTCTACAGTGAAATAAGGCTGTTTCTTTTTTGGTACTAATTAAGGAACTAATTGCGTAGCATGTTCACCATGGTATAGTTTACAATCGGATGGCACATGCAAACCAATGGCCTGCAATTAAGAATGCTTTACATGTTTAGATACAAATCCAGATTTTTGTACTACTTGTGATGGTTTTAATCATAAAATACCTGATAATAATGGTATTTGCATTTGTAAGCCAAATTATGGTCTTAAAGCTGATGAGTGTGTAAAGTGTTCTGAGGGTTATTGTTAAGAATGTGAAGTAGGAAATTTTTTTTTATGTACCTCATGTGCACCTGAGAAATATAGAATCTTAATTGATCAATAATGCGTTTGCCAACCTGGGTTTTGTTAACCTGCAGATGGAAGTGCGACGTGTATTTGTAAGCATTCTGAATAATAATTAAGTATGCGATAAGTCATGTGTAAATTGTTCTGGTCCAACAATTAATGATTGTACTTTATGTCCTGACGAAATGACTACAAATAGAATTCAGATTGGTAATTCGTGTCCTTGTAAAAAAGGTTACGCTGAATATGAAGTCAAAGATGCTAAATGTGGAAGTATTTGTAGTTATATATTAAGAATGCCATCCAAGATGCAAATCATGTCTCTAAGCAGCTGACGAAACCTCAAATTAATATTGTCTAACTTGCATACCTGGATAAAATCGAATTCTTTCAGAGAATCTCAATTGTGATTGCAAAGACAACTATTCCGATTTTGATGGCACTTTAGATATATGCATAAGTATTTTTATAATTATATTTAGTCTGTGATTATACCTGTGGAGTATGTAATGATTTTGGTCCTACACATTGTACCTCATGTTTAGAAAGCTCACATAGATATTTAACAGGTTTAGGAGAATGTTTATGTAAAACATCATACTTTGATGATCAAATATAAAACACAGAGTGTTAAAGTATAATAGATATTAATCCTAGAATGCCATTATTCATGTTTAAGATGCGCAAATAGCATAGAATAAAATACATGTGTAGAATGTCCTCCAACTAGAATGCCTAGTGATCCATTAGCCACTTAGTTCTAATGTATTTGTGAATTTTCAAACTTCTTTGACGATGGATTATTACCAACCTGTCTATAATGTGATGCCTCTTGTCTAACCTGCAATGGTCCTCTTTCATCTAACTGTCTATCTTGTGATTCAACATATAGAGAATTTTATTTATCATCTTGTCTATGTCCACCAGGATAATTTGATGTTGGATAATTGGAATGTGCAAGTAATTCTATTTTAAACATTATCAGAATGTCACTATTCTTGTTTTTAATGCTTTGATAATACAGCTGAAGGTTGCATAAATTGTTCAATTGATTTTCATCTTAGAGTGTTAAAAGGAAATACTTGTAAATGTATTGATGGATATTATGATGAACCAGGATCATCTAAATGCAAAAGTAATTATTAACATTATTTTTATAATAGAATGCTCATATAAATGTGAAACCTGTGAAGAGTAAGCTGAAAAATGTTTGAGTTGTCCTTTAAATTAATTACGTACTTTTGATTCCACTACAGGTTGTCTTTGTCCAGGAGAGTATTATGATTAACAAAATGTCATAATTTGTTAAAGTAATATAAAAATAAATTAAAGAATGTCATTTCAAATGCAAAAATTGTAGTGCCTAAACTGAAAGCTCATGCCTCTCATGCGATCCATTGTCATATAGAGAAATTAAACTTTAATAATGTAAATGCTAACCACATTATTTTGAAATGGAAGTTTAGGAATGTGCAAGTAATTATTATGCTCAATTATAGTTTTGTAGTGCTCTTTGTTATGAATGCGTTGATAGACTTGATAATTGTACTTCATGCTATGATGATAGATATCTAATTGGAAATAAATGTTAATGTGCTTCTAAGTTTTAAGGGGCTTCGATAAGTACATTTGAGTTTAATGGTATGGTTAAATGCTAAAGTAAATCTTCATATAACTGTAAGAGTGCCATTATTCTTGTGCAACATGTGGAGGAAAAGAAGAAATAGATTGCATTTCTTGTATTGACACTGATAATAGGTATTAAGTAGGCAATACTTGTGTTTGCAAAGAAGGATATTATGATGCAGGATTGCCTGTCTGTTAAAGTATTTATCATTTTTTTATCAATAGAATGCAGTTACAAATGTAAAGGATGCTCAAAATAATCTGAATATTGTACTTCTTGTTAAGATAATAGTTTAAGGTAGTTAGTTTCAGATTTTAAAACATGCAAATGCAATTAAAGATATTATGATGATGGATAAAATGAAGTTTGTTAATGTATATATTTCTATGTTTATAATTAGAATGCCATTACTCATGCCTTAGATGTAATGACATCGACACAAAATGTGAATTATGCTCATTTGAATCAAATAGAATTTACAATGATTAACTATTTTCTTGTGATTGTGATGTTGGTTACTATAATACTGGAGTTGAAATCTGTTAAAAATGTCACTATTCCTGTTTAAATTGTAATTCTGGATATTCAAGTTCATGTATTTAATGTGTTGATTCTAACATTTCAAATAGAGTATTTTATAATAACACTTGTAAATGTTTATTTGGATATTTTGATGATGGCTAATCAATTAAATGTTAAAAATGTGATGTTTAATGTTTAAGTTGTATTAATCAATCTTATTAATGTTTATCATGTCCACAAACAAGGAAATTAGAAACTAATTGTAAATGTTAACAAGGATATTATGATATTGGATTACAACTATGTTAAAAATGTAATTCAATTTGTTCTGCATGTGAATTTACATCTAATAATTGCACATAATGTGATTCTGATTAATTTAGAGAACTTAATGAAATTACTAAAACTTGTGATTGTTAAATTGGTTATCTTGAACTTAATGGAATTTGTTAATAATGTGATCAAAGTTGTAAAATATGTTAGTAATAATTGAATCATTGTACATCTTGTGTATAATTTAGAAAATTAAATAATAATAATTGCATTTGTATTGATGGTATGTTTGAATCAATTTAAGATAAATAATGTAAGTTATGTCATAAAACATGTTTAACATGTGCTTATTCAGATTAATATTGTTTAACTTGTTCCGTTGATAATTTTAGAATATTTAAATCTGGAAATACTTGTGAATGTATATAAGGATACTATGAAAATTAAATAACTTATGCATGTGAATAATGTTCAAAATCTTGTTTAACTTGTTCATAATAATATAATAATTGTTTAACATGTGATACAACTCTTAATTTATCTTTAATCAATAATCAATGTTTATGTTCATAATCCTATTATTTTAATTCTTTAACTAATTCATGTTAATGTAATACTATTATATTTATATAGAATGTAATATCACTTGTTTAGATTGTTAAATTCAGAATGAATGTACATCATGTAAATTAACAACCAGACATTTAGATTAAGATTAAAAGAAATGCATATGTAATGATGGTTATTATGAAACAAACTAAGCAAATTGTTAATGTATTATACATTATCTACTTTTAGAATGTCATTTATCATGTGAGACTTGTATTAATATCGAT